CCCACTCCCCCCTCACCCGCTCAGCTGATAGGCAAGGCCGGCGTGGCGCGGCGCGGGGCGTGGCGTGGCGGGCCCCGCCGCGGCCCTCTGCCACCGTCGCAATGGTCACGCACTCACACATGCAGACAGACACACACACACACACTCACACGGCCACCAGCAGGCGAGGCGATGCGACTTAGGCCCCAATCGTCGGTACGCCACGCGCGTGCAGATACCCCAACCGCTGTCCTCCCCCCCCCCCATGCCCCCACCCCTTTTCCGCCACGTCGATACTCCTCGCTGCCCACTATCCAAAGCATAGCCAAATAAACGCATAATGGCGCTGCAAACCCCCCTCCCCCCCTCTTTTTCGCATCCAAAGTGATAAACAGGGGTCGAGACCTTTGAGAAATGAGCTGTCGCTACCCCTTGCTGCCCCCTCCTGTGCCCCCCGTGCGCCGGCCTCGACCCGCCCCTGCACGACATGGGCCGCCCGCGGCGATACTCCGGGAGAGCGGACCGATGGCGGGGGTTGATAAAAAGATTGAGAGAAAGAGAGAGGGAGAGGGGGGAGGACAGCTCCCGGAATTTGATTAACCTCTGAATCACACAACATTCTTACACAAAGGTAGCAATAGCAGCTATGGTAGACATTATCAAGCGACAGATTTAAGCACGAACTGCAAAGTCTTGTGTCTTAATTTACCAAGGCCTATTGTTAGATTTGATCACAGTTTGTTCACGTTTGTTACGGAGCTGAAAATCACCTCCAATGAACTACAAACAAGTACAAGATGACTTACCGTCTATCTCTCTTTAATTCCTCAATTTTACGAGAGCTTTGAGAATGGAAAAGGCAAAAGTATAAGCAATCATTAAACCACCACCACCATCAGTACTATCACCACAGAAAAGATAGGTGAATAAGAGCAAATGAGGTAACTCACCTAAATGTTCCCATTTTCTCGTGCAATTTAGCGACAATTGACTTTCTTGGAACAGAGGAGACAGCCACACCATCTGGACGTGTTGGAGCATCATTGCATATTGAGGCAGCCTGCACAGCTTGAGAGAGATCCAACTCTGGTTCCTGCATGTTGGAGCTGTTGACCTCTTCCTACAACAAATACATACAACAATAAAATTTGAGCACTTATGGCAGAACTGGCCAAGTTGATGTGGAATTGCAAGGAGGGAAGTCAAGTCACCGCCTAAGTTTGCTTAAGATAAGTGGGTACAGAAAGAAAAGGAGGAGGGAAGTCACTGCCTTAAGTTTTAAGTGGGGTATTATGGAGAGACAAGGAGGGAAGTCACTGCCCAAGACAGCACCTTAACACTTTGTAGATCCCTCGCCATTGCGCTCATTCCCTGGACCACAGGCTCCACAGGCTCTCGGGCCAGGAGTTCATCACTACTCACACGGATGCTGGTCCTCCTCGCCTCGCATAAAGAGATGTCGCCCCCGATCCTGTCCAAAGTGCAAGGGGTATCCCCAGGACGCGCGGGCCGCAGCAGCAGCAGCCGCAGCAGCCAGTGGCGAGCTCAGGCTGGCTCGGGACGTGCGCCTCGTGTACGCGCGCGGCTCGACAACAGCTGTTTTAAAGATGAGGTCTAAATATAACGAGGCAATGACATTCAGCGGAACCTAACCTTCAGGAGAGTGGCCGTCCCTTTCACCTGGGGCCCTCGCCTCTCGCTCGCCCCGGGGTCGCTCCGAACGGAGCCGATCGAGGACAGGCTTCCGAGGACGGACGCATTCCCAGCATACTCACTCACCATACGACACACGCAGCGGGTCGGGTTGTCTTAGTTCATTTCCGCACCAGCATTTTGCAATTTGAACGCCTTGTCGACGGCCGCCGAACGTGCTTGTGTGCCTCGCGCTGGAAAACCTTTCTCCTCCTCTCCTTTCCCTCTCCCTCCATCCTTTGCGCTCCCCGCCGAGTCCTTGTCCTTCTCCTTCCTCCCCCACTCTCGAGCTTCCTCCCTCCCCCACACAGAGCGCGCTGGCTGCACCCTTCTGCTGTTCAGCAGCCAGACGGAAGAAGAAGATGAGAGAAACCCCTTTAGAAAGCAGAGTACCCGTTTTCCCTTGTGACGGCCATCGCAGCTGATTTCTCTTGCTTTTCACGGCTGCTATTTTCTCGTCCTTGGGGCTCTCCGGATCCTGGTGAGATCATTTTCTTTGTCTCGGCCGCCTCGTCTGCACCGGCGCGTGCACAGGCAGGAGCAGCGGCCAAGGCGGCTGGCAGAGCATCCATTGCCAGTGCAGAGAGTGACGTCAGGGGGATTCTTGTCATTGCTCGCCACTGCGACTCGAGAGTGCACCGTCCTGTTGTTCTGCTGACAGGGACGGCCTGACCGCGGAGACACCCTCCTCGGGGTGAAGCAGGAAGCAAAGTGGAAGCGAACGCCCCTGATCGTGCCGCCGAGCGCCAGAGGCTGAGCCACAGGCTGAGCAGGGTCGAGGTTGGCAGGCTTCTCCTTGGCGCGGCAGGAGAGTGGACGATGATGGCAGGGCCAGGTCCCCAGCCCACGGGCAGCGCCGTCAGGGCCCTCGGCCTGGAGTACCGCAGCCTCCAGGAGGAGCCCGTCGAGGGCTTCCGCGTCAAGCTCGTCAACGAGGACAACCTGTTCGAGTGGGAGGTGGCCATCTTCGGGCCTCCAGACACCCTTTACCAGGGGGGCTACTTCAAGGTGAGGACCCAGCACCCTTTGTTATTGTTGTGCTGTCAAGTCTGACATGGGATGGTCATTGGGATTATATCAAGAAATCTCCCTCTATGAAAAGAAGCCCAGATTTGATTGAAATCCTGAATCTTTGGTGTGGTTTATCCGCCACAACTTTTGTTCGCAGTTTTGAAGCGCAACCAGTTGATAAGACATGAAAGGATTAATTTGCTCCTCCCACTTTCTCCACATTCCACTTACCTGGGTGATTTGTAATTTGATGTCGTACTTTGCGTGTTACACCTCAAAAAGTACAACTCTTGAGACAACCTAACCTACCTCTTGACCTTGTGCTGACTCACTGTTCTTTTCAAAATTAGCGTGATGGTGCTCTATTATTCCACTTTTGTCACTCATTTGTCCTCTGGGAGTTTTCTGTGCTTCTCACACTTTAATGTTTATTCATTGTAGTAGGAAGTATATTTGTAACCTTGACCTAGTTTCTTGCTCTCCTCAGTCCTTTTGTTTGTGTAGCATGCTTTGTCAAGGCTGTTTGGAATCTGGCATTATTTTTATTTTCTGTGTGAATTTAAGTCATTAAAATATGTTGATTTACTAGAATGAAGCATCAATATCACTAGTTTTCTCCCAATTGTTTTAGGCTCACATGAAGTTCCCAGCTGATTACCCGTACTCACCTCCAAGTATACGCTTTCTTACTAAAGTTTGGCACCCTAATGTCTATGAGGTAAGTAGTTTTCTATATCAGAACAATCATATTGGTAAACTCCCTGTATATTTGTTTTCACAGGACTACATTATTTGTTTTATTTTTGTTTCATTATAAGAATGGAGATCTTTGTATCTCTATTCTTCATCCACCTGTAGATGACCCTCAAAGTGGTGAGCTGCCTTGTGAAAGATGGAATCCTACTCAAAACGTGAGGTATGTCCAGTCTTGTTGGTTTCTAGGGTTGGCTATTTCTGAAATAGGCATCTGCCTTTACTGAAATCAACGTTTTCATTCTCTCCTGAACAGGACGATTCTCTTATCAGTTATCTCGCTACTGAATGAACCCAACACGTCTAGCCCTGCTAATGTGGATGCCTCCGTGATGTATCGCAGGTTTAAGGACTCAAAAGGGAGAGATAAAGAATATGAAAATATTATCAGGTATGACGGGGAGAAATAAAAAATAAAAATGAAAGCAATGCTATTTACTTTTTAATATTATATCTACTTACCCTCCATGTATTCTAACACAGAAAACAAGTGTCAGCCGCAAGACTTGAAGCAGAAAAAGATGGTGTTGTGGTTCCTCTTACATTAGAAGACTACTGCCGCAAACCAAAAGCCAAGGCTGCTGAACCACCAGTAGATATGACTGACTTTTATGTTGATGATTACGATATTGGTGATGACGACGATGATTTGGACATGGGTGACAGTGATGCTGGAGATGATGGGGATGACAGTGGCAATGGCGAGTCATGAACTGAAGAAACACTTGCTCAAGGCATTGGCTCTCCTTTACATCTGCTGTGGATGAAGAAAGAATTCTCTATGATTTCAATTGTTGCTGATATGTTAGCAGCATTTACTCAAGTGCTTACTCTCTTTAGTTGGTTTGTGTAAAGTTTATTTATGGGTTGTGATGCTGTGATGCTTAACATTGTAGACATTTACTTAATGATTGTCATGTAATTTATTGTGGAATTGAGTTGCAACATAGAATTGTACTATGTAACCTTACTTATTAATTTTATGCTGAATGGTATTAATTCCTATTGCTTCATTAATAGTGTGGAACAGTATGTGAATCGGATATGAAGATGCTCTGGGACATCCTAAATTATTAAATTGTTTAAGTTAAGTTCAAAATTTGTGATGGGAAAATCACAACTGTCACATTGCTTAATTCATTTGTAGGTATTTAATTTTTTGTATTAATGTTTTGTTTGTGACATTGTAACCCTAAGCTGAATCATTGAATTTCTGTTTAAAATGGGATTTTTTGGATGCTATCTGTTATTTTCTTGAAAAAATGTAGTTTTTTAATATTTATTTGTTATCAAATGACAACCAACCTGTACTGGAAATGATTCTTTAATTTTATTCTTATTGCCTTCTTGTCCCGGTTAGATTTTGTGGAACATTGTTATTCATTGAAACGGAATTCTTTATGTGTGTACTGTATCATATTCTTTTACCTTCTAATAATGTAATCTTATTTGTTGAGCATGATTGTTATTTTTCCTTGTATTGTCTTACTTACTCCGTTACCAGGATCTTTCATTGAATAGATTTGTCTATCTGGCTGTCATCTTTATCTTTGCTATACCTTTTCATTTTTAATTATTTTTTACTGATGGATTCTTCTTGCACAAGTAGGTCACATCAAAATTTTTTCAGTGCTTTGATGAAAAGATATAGAAAGTTAGTTCTCTTCCACTGTCTTTCGTAAACCTTGTGCTTGTTGTATTTGGCCTATTGTAGCAGGATTCACTTAAGGGTGGCTTTTCTGGTATTGTAACAACAAAACCTGATGCCCTGCTTAGATAAGAACAGCATTGCATCTTTTCATACTGTAATAATTTCTATGCGTAAGATTTGATCTCAGTGCTGGTGAAATAGAAGGTAATTCTTGTAGATTTAGAAAAATCGTGTGCTGATTCTGTCCTAAAATTTATTCTTTTTACTTGCCATCCATCTATATTAAATTTTACATTGGACTTCTGGAAGTTCTATGAATTCAAAATTCCAAGCAAAGATCTTGTCTGCAAACTCATCTGCTACATTTTTAAAAATATTGGCGTGTGTTGGAAGTCTTCAGATAAGTGATATTGGTATTGTGTGGCATGATAGACAAGTTTTTATTTTTATTTTATTTTGAACTGAGAGCCAAGTTAAAAGAATTTGTGATTGTATTGCTTTAGTATGAATGGTTTGATCATGACTATTGAATTGGGTTGTCTTATACAGGTTTGACAGTGTGCTGGTACAGTTATAGTTTTACTATATTGGGTTTGTGGCGTTGATAAACATGTGTCCTTGGCCAATTGTGTCAGTTTTTCTTCTCACATTAGAAGTATGGATTGACATGATTTTATCAATAGTTAATATCTTTAGGAATCCTATGTTTTACTAGCACGCTTTCCCTAATTAATTACGCTTAATAATCACCACCATTCTACTTTGATAATGTGTCTTTTGAATGATAAAAATTCTTTTTGGTGTTCGGGCGAGGTTAAATTGGGTACCAGTAGATTGATGATAATGTTATAGGATAAGACATTCATGGTTAAATAGGGACATTCCTTCCATTTGTTTATCAACGCCTTGTGTACAAGTAAGTTGGACGTAAGATTGTTGTGTCTAATGATAATGATTGAAAGGAGGACAGAGGACCAGCTCACCACTGCCAGATAAAGTGAATGTTGGTGTTTGAAACTACCTATTAAGTCACTCAAAGTGTACAGATGATTGTATAGATATTTTTTTCATGATACATTTTTTTTTCTTTGACAGAACAGAAGATTGGCTGTAGTTGGTTTATATATGAGGCTACATTGTTCTTTTTTAAAAATGTCATTTAAATGTTGGATAATGTAAGATTGATTTTCTGTGCTTTTACCATTGTACAATTATTCAGTGTGTTAAATAAGTCAATTTTTCTTTTTTACTTTTTCTTATTGCTTGTAGTTGTTACAATATGTGCATTGTAAATAATAAAATAAGAATGTATATGCTCTCTTAATGCTTGTTTCACACAGACTTGCTTACAGGACTTTGATTTTTCTGACTTTACTGTGTACTAGCTCTCACGATTCGTATTTCAACAAAATCCATCCAATTGTTCAGCATGCTGAACATAAACTATGTTCAAGTACCTATATCCCAGTTTGATACTAGAAAGTTTTCTGATTAGAATTAAAGATCAGTGGAAGTTGTTAAAATGTTTTCCCTTTTACTCACTGATGCCAGCCCCTATGTTAATTTTCATTTTGGTTTGTGTTTTGAAATTTTATTTGTGTTCTATTAGCTATACAATTTGTTATTAAATGGTGAAGTGGCCCCTTAAATATTTTCAGATCTTCTTTGTGACATGCATATCTCAGCACAGTCGTTTACCTATCAGAAAAATCAGACGAGTCATGGGAGTAATACAATTGTAGCTGTGTTCCATATTTCCTTAATCAATTTGAAACAGAAGGTGCCACTGAGTATAGGTGTTCCCATCCACTCCATTATCTAGTGTTGTATTTGGACTTTACCATATACCATGCTACAGCATATAAGTCAGTGTTATGCAAGGTGTTATGACTACAAGATTGTTCTCTTTTACGAATTCTTGAAAACGAAGTCACATTAATTAAGATTGAAAGTACTGTGATCAGAACTTTTTTGTGCAAAGACCAAGTAAACTCAGACATTTTTTGTTGCAAGAGTGAATTTTGTTTATTATTCATGACAACCTGATGGAGTGATGAGATAAACATGGAAATCACCTTGACTTACGCCTCTAGATACAAGTATCAAAATTATAACTCTTTATTATTAATAAAAACTATGTTGTTTTTATTTTCAACCATCCTGTTAAGTTGTAATTATTGGTCTAGTTTATTGTGTTTAGTTGCGTTTTATCTTCTGAAGTGTACTCCTCACTTTATCTTACATCTGCGAATTTGTTTTTGTAAGTATTGACGTGGATAGAATTTTAAAAAACATATTCTGTGATCATAGTGATCAGGTGTGAACATTATTAGTTTCTGTTGTGCAAGGGAAAATAAAGTATGTTTGAAATTTGATACCCTCCAGACCTTTACTTTTTTACAACTTTTTTTTTCGTATTTTTTCCTCCTCTACTGAGAGACAATGTCTTATGACGTTGAACGAACCAGACGCATTCGTTCGTAGTAAAACATGCAGCACAGGAGTTGAGTTGCGTCGCCGAAGATGTAGGCAACCCATTTTTCACCTGTGCACTGCGTTCGGTGGTTCGCTCGGGCCCGAGAGCCGAGGGGCGGGGGAAACGGGGAAACCCGAAGAGCGGTCTCTCGTCACGACATGACGTCACGATGAGCCAACTACCGAGCTCGCTGATTGGTCAGGAAGAATGCCGTCGACCAATCAGCGCGTCTCTTAGAGGAAAGTTCAGTCTGGTTTGGTTTCCTCTTGAAAGTTTCCTGCTAGTTTCGTCAAACGGTCGTGTTGCTCGTTTCTGTGCGTCCGTGAAAGTTGATAATTTGTTTTTAAGATCTTACCATTTTAAAGTGCTTTAACTGTGGTGATGATTGCGGATCTCTGAAGTCTACTGCGTGAGGGTTTCAGCGATGAACTGTGGTTGAGGATTTTCTTTTCCTTGATGATGAGGCAGGTAAGACCAGCCACTGAGCTCTCAAATGCGTTTTTCGAAATAAGTATTCTAAGCGATGCTCTGATGTATGAGTATTCCTTAGCGAAGTGACGCTGCATTCTTCCTGAGAATTTTTTTTATCTTACTTGTCTTGCGACGTCCGTTAATAGCCAGAGTGGTCGTGTTCTAAAGAACCTAACCTCAACTCAGCTTCAGATACCTACCTAGGCCAGGCCACCAGCTGTATTCTTAGTTCTGCTTAAACTTTAATTTTTATTGTATTACCCATGGCTTGCCAATTTTCTTGGGTGTCATATGCCTTCCGTTCTCCCAAGGCAATCCTTGTTGATTTTAATCCTCTTTGTTTCTCTTTAAATTACACTAAGAGCTTGGTCAAATTGTTGGCCATAACCAAATTTTATGAAATCAACTAGTAATGTTATCTTTTTTAAATGACCCTTTGCGTCTTGATTTGTTCTTGATACATTTTCTTCTGCCCGAAGAAATAACATGTGTTTAGTCTGTTTGTATTGATAACATGGATTGTTTGTTTCTCATTATATAATCAATATTCTCAAAATCTATCTAGGTCTTAACCATAATAACCAGGCTATGAAATGAATTCATCTATAACAGTACAGATTGGTTTACTTCACTTTCGAAACTGGTTTATGGCCAAATGTTATATTTTGTGTTAGGTTCTTTTGATGGTATTTTTAACATGTGGCTGCAATATTATAAATTACCTTTTGTCATTCTTTTGTTCTAGACAAGAAGAATGGCAGTGGATATAAGATCTGGAGCGCAGGAGGCGGTGAACACCTACATTGTCTCTCTTGCTGATTTGACCGTGAACAGTAAACCTCACATAAACGCGCTCACCATGCTTGCCGAAGATTATTTAAATTATGCGGAGGCCATTGTTAAAGCAGTTGATGATCATCTTCAAAAGGTTTTATTTTCTACCCACTATATTAATTAGTAGTTAGTTATGACAAACACAGGTCCCAAAGTATACTGCCTGGATTAAGACCTTTATTTCTTGTGATTTGCCACCTACAGCCTCTGGATCTATTACGCAAGTTTTGTCAGGTTTGGGGTCAAGATATTGATAGGCTTTTATGAGCCACGTTTACTGGATGGGTTACTATGATAGTTATCTTTTGACTCATTGAATTCTACCTGTGATATTTGGTACACTAGTTATGTCTATTCCCTTTTAGTACTGCTACTAATTGGGTTATAGTTTTCAAATTTTCTGAATTAGAATATGTTGTGTGCTTGTGCAAGAGTGCTGCTTGTTGGGAAAATTTTGGAATTTTTATGTTTATCAGACAATTTCTCTTTTTTCTTTTAACTTGCGTCTTTATTGAAGTCATCTGTGAAATTTGGGTGGGAAAGGAGTTATTTTTCTGATGGGATGCTTGTTTTTACGGAAGAATTATTTTTGCAATGTGTTTAAGCATCTGTGCAAATAGCCAGGGCTGGGCATTGGTTTATCTGGTTATTCTTACTGCTTAAGTGTGGCTTGCTTTCATCTATATGTGGAATGCCTTTGTCTCTTGATTAGATTTGTCTTGTTACAGATTGTAAATGGTCTTTTCTGAACAGTCTGTGATATTATGTGATACTACTAAAAACAGAATATGGCATGTAATTTAGATAACTGAGGTGAAGGTGCTAGGTTTAGTGTGTGCAGCAGCCTTGAAATAAGCAATACAAATTTTTAGTTTATGAATGATCTATATGTTTGATGAGATTTAATCTTCTCTGAAATGTTGAGATGACAGCCCATTTGTTTCTAGACATTTAAAATTTTCAATTTAAATTAGCTGAGTTTCTTCAGCTGTACATGGGCAAACCTTAGGGTTTTGACCTTTTTATTTCCTGGGTGCATTTCTAATTTTTGCCCAGATATTTCAAGTCTTAACATTAGGACTCATACTTTCATGTTTATCTCTTTGCCCCTTAATTTCTGTGGTAGGTCAATTTTAAGCGACAAAAAGTCAACTAGCTTTGTGTACTATCTGGAAGGGTTTGGTGCCATGCAACTGGGTACTCTCAAGCATGTAAAGATTTTTCAACTGGTTCAGTTTAGATTGTTCTGTTTTTAAACACCCTAGGCCTGGGATACTGCATTTTGATTGCCAACTCTAAACTTGTTCACTAACATTAAAGGAAAAAGAACACTTTTCTCTTTAGAGCACAGTTCTTGTGGTATGCCTTTTAAGTGTTAATGCTTCAGTGGGAATCCGTCTTTACTATCAAAACCATTTTGTGCTTGAGTTTCGGCTATCAACTAAATATTTTTTGGGGCTTGGTGGCAAATCATAAATCTTGGCAGTTGTATGTCTGGGTTTGTTCTAGGTTTCTTTTTCCTCCCTTGCATGAAAAGTGTTTGGTCTTATTTGGTTTTTATGGTCCATATCTGTATATGGTTAAATTGAGATGGTATCTGTTGATATGATTGATTTCTTCTTTGTCATTAATGCTTGGTGAGATCTGGTTTAAGTAAACTAGATTGTTTCCACAGTTTTATTCAAAGCCAAAAGCTGGGGATTGTTCAAGTTTAAAATAAGCTGACATTAGGTGTATAAACAGCCATTTCCAGTATAATTTATGTTTAGTTTCCTGTCTTTGCAACTGTTGACCATTAGCAGTATTTGACGCTATAAGGTTCCTATTTTTTTTTAATCTATTTTTTTCTTTTTCCTTTTTTTTGTGTGTAAACTAGAGTGTGCTACCTCACGTCATGAGAAACTGTGATACCTGTAAATTGTAAAGTGTCATGATTGCTTTGTGTAAGCCACCTAAGAATAAAAAAGATCTTTTCTACCATTTGTGTCTTCCTTAAAATTTGACACACCTATTTTATTTATTTTTTTGTTATCTGTTGTCCTATTTGCGTGAATGGAAGAAAGTATGATTGGACAAAATATAAATTTTAAACTTGTGTTTGTAATATGTTCCTATTTTTAATTTCATTGCCTTTGATAGGTCTTATGATTCTAAAATGTTCTTTTCTATAAATTATGTAAATTTTATATACATTTCTCAACTTTATAACTGAACATTAAAACTCTTTGAAAAAGCCTACAGGATAGAAGACATGTCATATGCTGATATTTGTCAAAACAATCCACACAGAACATCTCACACATCTGAAATTCCAAACTAACTTGGTCTTGAAGTATTTCTTACCACATGTACAAATTGAAGATCATTTAAATTTTGTGTGATCTACTTCAATACGCTCAGTACCAAGGATCTAAGGGAATGTAATACCAATTACTAGTGGTGTGTTGAGCTGCACTAAAATTCCATGTGATGTTTGTTGAACTGCCTTCTTGTGGTAGTATGTACAAATAGCTGGGATGGGTTGCAGTTAGTGACACATTATTTGCACCTGTGTGACATAGGTTCCCAGCTCGGTGAAGCTGCCCATCTTGTACCTCATCGATTCCATCATCAAGAATGTTGGAAAAGTCTACATTACCCTGTTTTCTCGCACCATTGTACAGTCCTTCAGCACTGTTTTTGAACAAGTATGTATATTAATTAATTTCTGAATTTATATCCCACATTGAGTAGCTTTCTTAAATTTTTATCTGTTATTCAGGTTGATGAGAAGACTCGTCAACAGATGTATAAATTACGTCAAACATGGAATGAAATTTTTCCTGAGGAGCACTTGTATGCTATGGATGTTAAAGTTAGTACTCTGGACCCCAAGTGGCCTATCACTGCCTCTCCTGCTTCTCAGTATGTGGCAGCTGCTCCTAATTCACAGCAGGCACCACACAAGATCCACATCAACCCCAAATTTTTCAAACCAGTAAGGGCAAATATCTATGTGAAATGCTTATCTGCAAATATTAGTGTTCTACATTGTGAAATTTTTCAGAGCCCAGTCACAACACCTGTAGCAGATGTACCTCCGGCTGCTGGTGGCCGAGTCAGCCCAACTTTGCCTTCGAGCATCAATTCCTCTGTTCCTTTGAAGCCAACATCAACACCACATCAAGTTAGTGCACCACCAAAGGACCATCCAGATGATGAGGCAGTTTTACTTGAGCAACTAATGCAAAGGAAGAGAAATCTTTTACGAATGCAGCAGGAGAAAGAGCTGTTTAAAAAGAAGAAAGCCAGCAGCAAACCACTGGAAAAGGTCTGTAGAGTTAACATTGGGAAGATACCTGAAATCGGTCAGAAAACATTTCCCTTACATTGTTTCTTCTGTTGTTTTCAGATTTCTTCTGATATACTCATTACTTCCACAAAGGAGAAAACTCCAGATCTGCCTACAGTTTATCCCAACAGTGAAGAAGTCCTTATGGTCAGTATAAATGCATTAATAAAAGATTTTCCGCTTGACTCTGTATAGTTTTCGAACCTTTGTTATCCAAGTTTTTCATTTTCAGGTTAAAGAAATTTCAACGAAGTCACCTGAAATTTGTGGGGCTGAAACAAGGGTTAAAGAACCAGCACTAGGTGTACTACAAATTCCCTCAAATGCGCCGAGAATCGCCCCTGTTAGCTCAGCCCTAATAAATCTAGTTGCAAATCAGCGAGCTCAGCGGGACCCTCGTCTCTCTAAGGTGTCGAAGGAAGAAGTTGTAATTGTTGAAGACTCAAGTAAATCTCAAGGGAAAGTTCGAGACCCTAGACTAACCGTCAAGGCTGAGAAAAGATCGAGGTCATCAGAAAAAGATTCTACCTCTAAAATTAGTCGCCATCATTCAAGGGAGAGTTCAGCTGATAGAAGTAGTAGTAGACATTCTAGTCGACGAGAAGAACGAGATAAACGCTCCAGTGATAGTAGAAAGTCTAATAGAAAATCTGAGGATCGAACAGTATCCAAATTGAAGAAGACAAGTAGTCGCTCTCCTAGTAAATCTTCTAGTAGCAGATCTCCTAGTAAAGCAAGCAGTAGCCGATCTCCACGAAAATCGGCAAGCAGTCGGTCTCCTAGCAAATCAAGCAAATCCTCTGGAAAACATGAAAGAAGAAAAGATAGTAGCTCTAGTCCTAGAAAGTCTTACTCCGGACATAGGCCTGTATCTGACTTTGCTGATTCCCCAGAATCTGATGTATCAGATTCGAAAGACAGTGGTGGTGGTACATCTGGTCCCAACAGTTCAGACTGGGCTGTCAGCTTTACTAAAGGATCTCATAAATCACGGAACTATGTCAGAAGAAACCTTCCCGAAAAATCTCCAGAACTTGTTGGCTCGACAGGAAGCATCGATGTGGACTTCCGCCTTAGCGCCGTTCAAGAGAAGCAGATCCAACTGTCCAATCCCACTGACAGGTTACTTCTGTCAAGCTCTTCAACGTTATCTGCAGGTGCTCCTGAGCAAAGTAAGCTTTCATTAGCCTTTTTCATAGAAATCTCCAAGTGGGTGAGGGTGACTTGTTTCATTTCAGTGTGTGCTTTGAGATAACTCAAAATGCCTATTATATGTGATTGATTTTAGTGCAATAAATTTCATAGTTTAGGTAAAATAGCATATCTTTAAAAAAGATTGTATTGTTAAAAATATCAAAGATTTACCCCTCTGAAATCTGCTCAATAGCATTCATATGATGATGGTTTATTTCAACTTGCTGTGGCCCTATGGTTCCCTTATACATTTTTACTTTGTCAGTCCTTTTAAAGGAAATAGACAGTTTCAGGCTACTAGGATGTCATACTTGCAGAAAATCCAGTCTGTTTTGCAGAACTAACATGACAGATCCCATAACCAACTAAAAAATTTCATCTGAATAAATTGATAAAACTAAATGGGGGAAACTCCTTTAATTTATACTCAGTGGAGTGTCTTGTGATTTCAATATCTATATAATTACCCATATTTCTTTGGACAACCTCTCAGTCATCTTGCAGATAACCCCAATCATTACCCAAGTTGGTTCATCAGTAAAAAAAATTTAATTGATTGAAAAGTCTGTTCGGTAGTCTTTCATTATTTCCTTCATGTTAAGCAATGTGATGTTTGCAATTCGCACCACCACCGACTGGTAATCCACCACCAACACCAATTTTGGTGATAGTTTGGGGGAACAACCATACGCACTGCATGCATGTGTTTTTCTTCGTTTTTTGATTGCAATTCTTGTCAGTTGTTCTTTGAATCATATGAACTTGTTGTACTCTGACCATGCAGAATTGGCTCAGTAAAATTAAGAAGAAAAAAAAACTACTAGTTCTGCTGAGGTATTTTTTCCGTTTTGTAAATACACATCCATATCAAGAATCTCAGAAAAAGCCATTCTAGGAGAGTAACACTATTGTACAAAAAAATTTTAATATTGATTTTAGATTTCCTCTTTTGTTTGAAAAAAGTGCCACAAAACAACTCTTCTCAACAGCACAATACATCAATGTTTCAGAAAGTTAGTCTTGTAAATGTGTGTCTGTTTCCAGTTAGTGGGGATTGATATGCATTCAACCCAAATTGCCGTGTCTTAGGTGATTGTCGCGCTTGTGTAACATGATTGTTATAGTCTATTAAGATAGAAGAGGTAGATTCTCGAAGAGTAGGGTAGTATGACCTATGACCTACTTAGGCCACTGTTACTCTATCTTTAGTGTCTATATTTTGAATTTTCCATGTTTCTTGTAGAAATGCTGGTATTATAGCATATGGTACTATTCGTATTTCATCAAGAAGCTCGTAAGTGAATGTTTGTCACCCTCCTGTACATGTACATGTACATAAATTAGTCATATTCACTCATACACTTGACTCAAATAAACAGCCCATGAAAGTGAGCAATTTATATGATGAAACATTTCAGCAAAGTCTGTTGTTGACTGCAACATTTAATGCCTTTCCAAATTCCGGCCGAATCATTTGATTTTTATTATGTGTTGATAGGTCCCATACTTCAAAGATGCGTTGTGGCCCTCCCTAAATACTCTTCATTCTTTGAACTTTTTGTGAAAGTTTGAGAGCGGTTGCATGTTGACTATACATTACAGCCTGCAGCTAAGGTATCTGTTTTAAATATATTGTTGCTAATCAATTTCGTCAGTAGGTCATGACCTCGTTGCCATAACCTCCCGTTACGTTTTATTTGTAATGTATGTTGGCATTTCATAAGGAATAATTTATTCGTGCAGCAATTCTATTATGGCTTTTTCTGAGAAGTGCTTACAATTCCTGATATTGTAAATTGTTTTTCATTCAACATTGTAAGGAATATTACCTTAGAAACTGTTCTACACTACAAGTGGTTTTATGCTTTAAAAAAGGAGGGAGATGGTTTATTTTATCATTTGTTTGACTTCTTCCTGGAAGAGAAAGTTGAAATGAAATGGTAGAGGGTTATCTGATCTGTGTTCACTTATGTTGATATGTGTATGTGTGCGCGTGTGTGTGTGCGTGTGCACCTTCTCTTTTCTTCAATGCTTTTTCTTGTGTCAAGTTTTCTTGTAAGATATCGTGCTATCTTACAGAAACTAACTTGTAATTTGTGGCCTTGATAAAACTTATTCAGATTTTAACACATGTTCTTACATAAATTCAAGAAAGGAGATAGTAAGAATTGAGATGCGCACACATTCTTGTTGCTATGCTGCCCTCCGTTTTACTAGATTTTCCTGTTGAAACCTGAAACCACTGTTTTTTAAACAGATGCTAATATATCGGTTAAAGTCTCAGATTACTTGAAAATAAACTTCAATCAATAAAAGGGGAAATTTCTCTACACCCACTTCATACTGCATTCTTACCTCACACTTTTGTCCTCCATTATGTTTTCCTGTTTGGAGCTGTTTTTCCAAAATGTTACATGATATGTCAACAGTTTTACCAACAATAGCAAGTCAAGATGTTGACCTACGCTGCTTACCATCGTCACCAGGAAAGAAACGTCGCTCTGCTGAACCTGAGGATGGACACCCACCAACAAAAAAGAATAAAGCTGCACATATGGAAATGTAAGTATTGGTTTTTGTTTAAATGGTTTCTGTGGAAGTGACAAGAATCAAAATGATATTACTGTTGTTAAATACTACAGAAAAGAAAATTGATTGATTAATGTTTTAAGTTGGTTTTGTCACAGTATATTTTTCACCAAATCATGCTTCACAAAAGCTTCAAGTCCCTGCCTGGATAAAAGTGAAACTGCCTGAAGCTGTTTTGCTTTGAAATCCCCGAATGATTCATTTTTATTTTCTGAATCAGTTTATTGATGTATGTTCTGCAATTCAGGTTGTTTGGGAAGCAAGACGTTGATCTCCGCCAAATGGATCTAGGCAATGGTATGGCATCTGATGCACCATCACCTCCACCACCTCCAATCATCTCATCACCAGAGAGGGGAGCCATGCTAAAGGATGTCAACCTTGGTTGGTCCAAGTTCAAACAAACACACTCTCCGTCTCCAGCAGTCGTCCGGTCTCCAGCATTCCCACGATCTTCAAGACACGACCGACTGGGACACTCGACTGGTATGTAAACATTCTTTACACTATTGAGCGTTCCTTTACCTTAATGTTTGTAGCATTAACAAGCATCTTAAACCTTACAGGAGGAAGTGAGTTAGGGCTAAGAGAGGATACAGACATGCGCAACCCCATGAATGGTCTGGAGACATCAAAACCTGATTTTGAAGCTATTTTGAAACAAGCTACTGAGCAGTATAAAAATGGAACTATATCTCATGCAGATTATAGTCAAGTGCAGATGAAGGTATTGTACTTGACTTAAAAATGCACGTTGTATATTTAAGTTTCACATTTATCCTTATAAAATAAATTTTCCAAACCTGCAGGTATTTCGCATGCACGAAACTGCAAAGATTCGTGAAGCTCAGCGCAATGACCATTCTAGAAGAGACGGCTGGGAGAGAAGACCTAAAGAGAAAGATTACCGACATGGATGTTAGTAAATTATCTTGCCTTCATAACTAAATTAATGTCTGTCCACTCTTTTCCTCAATTAGTTTTGCTTTTCTTGCAGTGGGATCGCCAGATGGGGAGCAATTTGGTGACATTGATGAAAGGTTTCCAGCTCCTGGAGTGGTCAAGAAACCCCTGCTTCCTCTTCCTGATGTACCTCCAGTTGCCCTTCAGGATGGTCGTCATCCTCGTCACATGGGACAACGTATGCCTGGACCTATGCAGGGGCAAGGCTACATTCGCCCTCCTCGTTCTATACTTGGCCCAGGCCCCAGAGGGCCTCCAAGGGGATCCTGGCGATATTCTAGGTTAATTTCAACATTGTGTTGTTATCATCTCAGTTTAGGAGCATAGTTCTGACTGTAATTGTTTGTTTTTTATTATTTTGCAGAGGTGGCGCTGGCTTCAAAGATAGTACTATTGCTCTTCCACCAGCTGACCAATTCATTTTAGAGAGAATCGCCCATGATCCTATGAAAACTATTACTATTGATAGTAGTCCAAGAGAAATTCGCTTTTATGGAGAAAATGCGGTGGCGATGATGAGTGCTGATGACCCACGTGAAATAGCTTTTGATCCGGGTGATGCATCTGTTATAATTAATGATATAAGCATTTCTTGTTCATTTAATGAGCAAGCCAAGGAAGTAATCATCAATGGAAAAACATATAGGTATAAACAATTTCGTGTATTTTCAAAATGATTACTAATACTGAACTAACTTTTAATCTAATCCAAAACAATCTTTTTTTGTAGTGTGCATTTGGGAGCACCAACTAGAGAACTTTACATCAATGACGAAGGTTTTGAATGCCAGTTTAATTGTCCGCCCAAAGAGGTCCTCCTTGCTACAGGGGAAGTTCTTGCCATTCAGCTCCAGTCAAATGATGCTCCCAAAGTGCATGTTGGAGCTCAACGCAGGGATCTAGTTGCAGGACGGGTTATGCTCATAATTGATGCTGAAACTTATATTCCCATATTTTTAGATGCTAAACCTCAAAGGTACTTTAATTTTGAAGGTGCACTCTGATTATTATGTATCTGGACCGGGCTTCAATTTACATCTCTAATTTTTCCTTGTGCAGGTTTGACATTGATGGTGTGCCTCACGTCATCAAATTTGCTGATGCTTTGGACACTGTGCTCGTCAACAACCATCCCTTCAATATCAAGTTCGGTGGTCCCGCCGTGCCCATCACTGTCAACAACATGAGGCACTACATGAGGCTGACTGAGCTGCCCCCCGACGTGGTGCCCGGGGAGGTTGAGATCGTGAGCATGAGCAGCCACTTCCGCAAGACCACGCGCGTGGCCACTGGAGCGGGAGCGCACGCGGCAGCGCCCTGGGCTGGTCCCGGCTCCGCGCCCAGCCTTGCTCCCACCCCTCATGCCAGTAATCCGGCCAGAATCCCTGAAACCGACCATGAGCCCGCACTGCCAGTGCGCGGAGGCCTAGCAGGTATGTCGACCACTGGGAAATGCTCTTGGAGCAGAGGCGACGAAAAATTTGATATTGGCTGTAGTGTGTCAACGGTTCTATAATTTTGTATTCATTTTCTATTTGTAGTGCTAAACCGTGGAGGTATGCCTAAGAAGATAATGAAACTCAAAGGCCGCCGAGATCCCACCGAAACTTTAAAACCAGCAAGAATTGAAGAGAGGCAAATGCCTGCTGATTTGTATCAAGCTCTCCAGCCTGGTATGCATCATTGCTTGACCCTCTGCCTGTAATCCCTGCTTTTCACTAGCTCCACTAACTCTTAAACTCTCCTCTCTCTCTTAGCCTTGCGTGGATTCCTACCGGGTTCTAATAATGCTGGCTACAATTCCACCTCACAAGCTATGGCAGGAGCTTATGGCATGCGGCAAAATATTGGTGCTGGTGCGTACTTTCTATTGAATTGAATATTTTGAGTGCAGGAAGGATTTTATTAATGTAAAATAAACTTTCTTAGGCCCTGAAGCAGCTGCTGAAGTTTCCGCCTCAAATTCCTCTACATCTACTGCTACATTCCCCTCAAGTGATCCAGAAGCAACCACCAGTTCAGGTTCAAATGGAATTCCATTCATCCAAACAGATCTAAATATTCACAAGTTACTTCAAAGCCTCTATGACACTGGGCTCATAGCCAAAAAGGATAGTAATGCTATCAAGGAAGAGAAAGATGTTAAGAAAATCCATGAAGTTGACTTCAAGGACTCAAAGTCTCTGAAAGTGTATGTTGTGGCATTATTCCTAATAAATGTTTTTGTCTTGTTTCTAAACCGATTTGCATTACCATCTATTCTTTTTTCCTTTCAGTAACCAGCCAGCAATTATTGACATTTTGTACTCGGGAATTCAGTGTAGTTCTTGTGGAACACGTTTCCCTCCAGAACAAACAGAGAAGTATAGCGCCCATTTAGATTGGCACTTCCGCCAGAATCGCCGTGACAAGGATTCTCAAAGAAAGCCACAGAGTAGAAAATGGTACTATGATGTTTCAGACTGGATTCAGTTTGAGGAAATTGATGATACTCTTGATAAAGGTATGATTAATCAGCTGTGCTCATTATGGCCATAATTTTTGTATAACATATCTAATTTATCCCAAATCATTTTTCCCCAGCACAAAACTGGTTTGACACTCAACAAACAGAGACTGCCAAGTTTGAAGAAGTTGAGGAGGAGGAGATTCAAAGCGTGCCATCAAAGGATTTCCCTGAAGGCACAATCTGTGAGCTGTGCCATGACCGCTTTGATCAATTTTACAATGAGGATAAGGAAGAGTGGCACTTGAAGGACTGCCTGGTCGCGGATGGGCTCCCCTACCATCCCTTCTGCTATAAGGATTACAGAGTAAGTGTCTTTTGAACCTTCTGACCGGAGGTTAAGTTACTAGGTTCATTTACTAATACATCTGATCATTGTCTGATTCTAGGTGTCAGTGGAATCAAAGGATGAAGAGCAAACAGAGCCTGTTGAAGAAGCTGAGTCTAAAGCAGAAGCTGTTGACAACCCCTCTGAAGAAACAGAGAAGTCTAAAGAGCCAAATGATGATGTCAAGAAAATCAAGGAAGAGAAATCTGATGATGTGGAAATGGAGGAACAGGCAAGAGAAATCAAACAAGAGCTTGAAAAGCCTTCTGAAGATGCCGAATGTACAAATGCTGTAGTAAAGCAGGAAATTTTAGATGATGAACAAAGCATCAACCCTGAAGAAGGTAGATGCTTCAAAAGTTTTCACTTTTACTTTTATTTGTTTTGGAATAGGTTATTTATTGGTATTTCTATTGTTACAGGTCTAGATGCTAAGCCTGATGAAAAGGGTGAGAGCTCAGGAGAAGGGAATGAACTGAAAGAAGAAGAGCAAGTAGAAGAGACAGAAAAGCAGAGTCAGGAAGGAGAAGAGGTGGAAGGGGATGCAGAGCAGAAGGACTCGAAGGACTCCAATGCGGAGACGGAGGCAGAGTCAGGTGACGCAGCTGGCACAGCTGAATCTGCAGAAGAACCGAAAACCCTAGAAGAGAAACTTTTGCACGATCCTATTACTGACACTACTTCTGCTGTAGTGTCTTGCTCTATTGATGGGAATCTTGAACTAGCTCAGGCTCCACCCACTCTTCCAGCCATTCCAAACCGCATCAAAATCAATATATCAAAACCCATTGTTAAACCCACTGAAGAAGCCAAGGATGAGTCAGATAGGGAGGAAGAAAATGGTGACGCAGAGTGTCAAGGCAGCTCCCAGCAAGATCCCTCGGAGGAGAAACCAGTTGTTTTTAAACCTAAGCTCCTAGGACGCAGACTAAAAGAACTGCCCCCTATGCTGAAAGGCAGTGAAACATCTGGCTTGTGTTCTCTCATGTGAATATTTAATAGCTTCAGTATTAGAAAAAGCGTTCTTGAGTTTTGTTGCAAGATAGTTTGTGCAATCATATTTCTTTCTATCATGCCAAGGATTATGCATTTAAACAATTGCATCGAATATTACCTTCTGACTATGTCAGATAGCTGGGCTTAGGTTTTGGGGAAAACCCAGTGAAAATGGTAACCTGATTTTTAATTAACTTCAAACTGGTGCCATTGATGTTGTATCTTTTCATCACACAAGATCATTAAGAAATTAGCACTTCTTACAACAACATATATGTGATTGCCAATCCACCTTTTCATGAATCAATTTTATCTAACCAATGCCACTGTTATAATCGGTCATACTCTGTCAATGTTAGAAGGAACTTTTTCCTTCATTTTCATTTTGTTTTATATATATGTATCCATTTTGGATATTGGTTCTAGTCGTCACATCCTCCCGATGTAGATTAATATATGTCATCTTGGGAGATAAATGGGAAGGATTACATATCCCATTTTCGGGTAGCAGTTTATCCTATTGTGGGGTAGCAGTTTGACCTAATCATGTATGAGGTAATGTCCCAATTTGGAAATCTTTTGTGTCTTTGTCAGTTGAATCACCATTGTTTTAGTTTTGATTTTTTTAATAATTATTTTTTTGACTTTCTACTATTTTAGGTTGTCAGATAGTCTAAGTCTCATTTGTTGGGCTACCTTGTGTCTGCACCTATTTGTTGTTTGTTGAGCATCAGTACGGTTATGCTTTAAAAACTGTTTTCAAATCCTTTTTTTCCCCCTTTTTTTTTGATTTTTTTTTTTACTGTTGTACTCGGGTATTTTACTTTTGGCAGTGACTTTCTTTGTATTTTGATTTAAATACAAGAAGTCTAGTATAAAGCATGACCATTAGGGTATTTTTTTTTTCTTTTTTGAAAAAGAGTAATTTTGTCACTCAAAGTTAATATTATTTTGGCGCATAATAACCAACTTATTGGTGTGTTTAAAAGACTGATGGTGTTTCTTTTTATGTCATCCGCTATGTGTAATGTTTGCCAATGATATAGAGGGTAGATAAAATACCTCATGTTATTTTTGTAATTATATGTATATTTAAAAATCTATCTACATTCAAGTGCCTTACACCTGTCCATGAGTAAGCGCTCATTTTTGGAAACCATGTATAAATTGTACAATAGCCCTCCTGTTAATACTTTCTGTCAGTGACTTAATGAATTGGACTTTCGTGAACATACTGTTTCTAATAAATTACACTTGTGTACAAATGAACGAGGGCGTAGCCATTATTTACCCCAACGCTACAAAGAAATATTCACCTGCGAGGCAGTGAGGGACCTGCGTGCTGCGCCTAGACCGTCCGCAGAGAGGCGCACCAATAACCAATATAATGCTACCAATACCTTCAATGGACTTCATGAAACAGATGGGTCGGCCTATTCTCCTCCTTGAGGGGTATAAGAAGATTACACTGAACACAAAAATGAAAAAAAGTTGGGCAAAATATGGTTGTACCGCACCGATTGGAAGTTCTAGGCGGAGGAAGTGGGTGTTCTCTTTCATGGCGATTCTACGCCTTTCACAGGCGTGTTTTACACAGGGAATACGATACCCTAACTAAAATAAATACTACAACTTTTATTAGGAACTTTTTTATTTCAATTAAACCGGCTGGCACAATGTTACACGTACACGTGGCGCCTGCGATAGTGCAACCCGTGTGCACCAACGTCTTCTCTAACACCCGGTTGAGTATGAACTTTACCAAATTACAACACACCAGCACAAGTAAAGAGCAAGGTTTATTAATTACTATGTGTCAACCATGTTTGATACTCTGGCGTGCTTCTTGTTTTAATTTTTTTGTGAAAAACTACGGGATACAAAAGTGCAGTCATTTTCACTTTATTTTTTCTGTGTGTGTGTTTGGAAAAAGGGTGAGGGGTGAGTGGGTTAAACTACTCAGGGATCATCCAGAAAGTACGTCACTCATTTGCCGTTACTGCCAAGTTCAGCTAATGCAGCCGAAGCAAGCTCTCGTAGCGCCTGATAGGCAGGCAACAGTTTGCCTGCAGTGCTTGTGTGCATTGCGGGTCGGCCTACCCCGAGTCTCGCAGGCGCCGAGCTCCCGTCATATTGCCGAATGAATCTGAGCGGACAATAAATAGTCGGTCCGGATCAGGCTGATTTTGGCCGTGTCGGTGGGCGCGACAACGGCGCGGCTCCACACGGGGCTGGCCGCCGCAGGAGGCAAGGGGCGCGGCAGGAGGGGCTGTGTCGGCCGCGGCCGCGTGGAACGGCGGGCGCCGACAGTCTCATTCGCTCAGCTGCCCCTGCTCCGCTCTGCCCCGCTCTGCTCAGTCGGACCGCGGGTGCGCCCCCCGTGCCCGGCGCCCGCTCCCGGTCGTGGCGATGAGGACCGTGCTCGCGGTGGCGCTGTGGGCCGCGCTGTGCGTCCCCGCGGCCCGCGCGCAGTGGCTGGACGCCCTGGGCCGCCTGGCGCGCCTGGCCCTGCCCCGCACCCTGCCGCTGCCCCCCGGCACGCCCCCCGACACGGAACACATCCTCAAGGAGTACGACTTCGTGGTGGTCGGCGCCGGCTCCGGGGGCTCGGTCGTGGCCAACCGCCTGTCCGAGGTGCCCGGCTGGACAGTGCTCCTCCTGGAAGCGGGCAAGTAAGTCATTCCGGACAAGGTGGACAGCGAAGGGTAACTCAGTTTAAATTCAAGCGTACAACAACTTTGCTATTGTTTTTTTTTTTCTAAATCTGACTTCTTTGATTATTTGTAATTTTTTCTATTTTTTGCTATTTATTCCTGGCATTTTCTGATATTTTCCTGATTTTCTTTTGAGGATGTATATGCTGGTTTTTAATTAGGAAAGTTCCCCTTGGTGGACAGCCGTTGTGCTCCAGTGCCGCAGAGCCCTGCATGGAGCCATAGCATCGGATGCCTAGACATGGCGTCCGAAAGTGATAGCGGAAATGAGAAGGTCGCCGCGCAGGGCCATAGCTCCCTCTCACTCCCCTTCGCTTTCGGACGCCACGCAGGGCTCGTCACTCTACTCTAGCTTGTTGCGGTGCGCCCCGCAGGGACGAGAGCTACCTGTCGGACATCCCCGTGCTGGTGAGCTACCTGCTGTCCACGGACTACAACTGGGGCTACCGGACGGAGCCGCAGGAGGGCGCCTGCCTCGCCATGGTGGGCGGGCGCTGCCCGTGGCCGCGCGGCAAGGCGCTGGGCGGCACGAGCGTCATCAACTACATGCTGTACACCAAGGGCAGCGCCGAGGACTACGACGACTGGGCCGCCAAGGGTAACTACGGCTGGGCCTACCGGGACGTGCTCCCCTACTTCCTCAAGTCCGAGGACAACCAGGTGAGTCCCAGACGACGTGACTCACAAACCAGGTGGCCAGAGAACACCCAGAAATGCCCATTCTTGGCACACGAATGTGTGCCTGGAAAAATCTCAAATTTACCTTATAGCAAGTAGAAAAGCGTTGTGTTAAGAAGTACGCTTCAAGGGAATTTCTTGCGCGAAGAACACATTTCTTCCGGCGAAATGGAAGCCACAAAAAACGTTACATTTGAAACGTCATATTTAGTGAAAGTGTTAAGTATTCAAGGTATCATCTGCTAAAACCCGTGGGATTCAGTTTTACAACACTCGTAAGCCGGCATTCCGGTCCTCTTCCCCTTCGTCTAGGTCCCCGAGATGGCCGGGTCGCGCTTCCACGCCCGCGGAGGGCACCTCACCGTCCAGCGGCCCAACTGGCGGTCGCCGCTGGTCGACGCCTTCCTCGAGGCCGGCAGCGAGCTAGGCCACCACGTCAACGTGGACCTGGACGATCCGAACACGCCCCTGGGCTTCTCGCGCGTCCTCGCCAACACCAGGGACGGGTCTCGGTGCAGTGCTGCCAAGGTGAGTACTGTAGTCTGAGAGCCCTCTCGGTGGAGACCTATAGTGATGAAGAG